ACCTTGGCTGGCTGTCTGCAGACAGAAAGCTTGGGATGGTTTTTTTTTTTATGATTGCTGCCCTCTCAGAGCAAGGCAGGTAAAATAATTGGCCTTGGATTTTAAAATAAATAACAGGGTGAGTGCCTAGTTCAACCTATAGCATGGAAAAATTTACAGTAATTACTTGTCTTTTGTTTTATTGTTGGGGTTTCTTAAGTAACTATTTAAATGCAGACGTTTATTTTTAGCGCTAAGGTTAAAAAAAGTGATTTTTTTTCCCCTTGCCAGCCCCTAAAGCAGTGCAGTGTCAGTCTAATCCTCATTGCCATCAGGATTTTTTCAGCTGCCATCAAATGATGAGATGTGGAATATTGAAAAGCTTCATACAGATAATTTGGAATAGCTTTATTCCATGCTGAAGGGGAAAAGCTCAACAGGCAGCCAGAGCTGTGCCCCTTTTGGCTTTGCAGCACTGCAAGAAACCAGAAATAACTCCAAAAATAAAAGTACACCTCAGTTTCTCACCAGGGAAGGAGGCAGTGAGGTAAGCTGGGCTGTGCTCCGTGCCAGGAATTCTCACTGAACGTGTCTTGGCACCGAGCACTCGGAGCAGGCTTGGGCAAAGTCACCTTTTGCCTTCAGAAAACAGAATAAAGGGTCTGCAGTGCCAGAGCCACATGGAATTGGGTGAACTGGGTCTGTTCCAGGAGAAACAAACTCACTCCTGCACACCTGGCTGTGTTCGTGGCCCCTCGCTGCCACCTTTGATTTCGTGGCACGATCCAGCCAGAGTGGGTGGGAAAAAGTAGAAATGGCCCTGATTTTCTGCCAAGTTCATGGCCCAAATCCCTGCTCTTTGCTCTGCTGTGCCTGTGTGAACATTCCCTGATTTTCTTTAGGAAGCAGCAGCTGGGTTTGGGTTGAGGCTGGATTTTATTGTTTTATTCCAGCAGCTCTTCGGCTCAGGTGTGAACCTGGAGCAAACATTTCCAGGTGGAGTGTGGCCTGCAGGATCCAGGGAATCCAGGGAGGTTCCCAGGGGTCTGGGGCCATGGAAAATAAATTTTTAGAGTCTCAAGAAAACCGATTTTGCTTGTAAGAGCAGGAGGCTGAAGGTGCTCAGTGGAAGCAGGAGCTGTCTGCAGAGTTAAATCCAAAGCAGATCCCATTCTCCAGGGCAGGCAGCCTGGAAGGCGTTTTGCCCTTTGAGACACAATTCCCGATTTTTTTTTCCCCTAATGAACAGCAAGCTCCATCAAAGGCCGGGAGATTGAGGACAAAGAGCAGCTCATGTGGCTGCCCCGAGGCAGCTGCTTCCACCCGGGAATTGCAACAGCAATTGAGAGTCATAGCATCACTCTCTTCCCAGGAGCCCGAGGGGAGAAAAGTTCCCTCCTTCCCTCTCTGAGTTTATGAGGATGTTTCCTGTTTAGTTCTCCGATCAAAGAACAGGATGTATAAATAAACAGAATGGGGAAAGATCACCCAAGTAATTTAGTTGAAATCCTGCAAAGCCACTTCCCAAATAACAGCCAAATGTCTGTGTAAAATAAAATAATTTGGTTTTTTATCTCCCAGTGACTCTGTTCCGTGGTGTAGTTATAATTTGAGTTGCTGCTCTTGCTTTGTAACCAGAAGTGAGGATTGCTAAGAAAATTATTTATTTAGAGTGGGGGAAAATCTACACATTCCATCTCTCCTTTGGTTTCATCCCTTGGAAGATGAACTTCGTGGGCTGGAACGAGAGGATCTTTAAGGTCCCTCCACACAACACCTACGTGGCAAAGCCAAGGACAAGAAGAGTTGATCTCTTCCTAAGTAAGCATTTATCCCTTCCTTCTCGTGGATTTCCCAGGATTGAATCACTGAAATCAATTTGGCTGCCAGGCCTCCTCTTGCCCTCTTCCTTTTTCCTCCTGGAGTTGTTCGGCAGGGTTTTTGTGAGGCACATCCCATTAACAGAGAGCCTTTTGTTCTGCTCGATGTCACGACTTGCACTGCCTCCTTGGGCAAGAGCATGAGAAGAGTCTTTTAATCTCCCCGTGTTGATTTTTAATAGGGAACAACATAATCAGTAGGTGGAGGTGACCTTTCATCTCAGGAGCTGCGAGGGGGGAAGACAATTTGGGGATAATTTTTGGGGTGCTTGCAGAGGGAGCTGCCCACAGGCACAAATGCTGGCTCAGGGCGAGTGAATCTCTTTTTCTGTGTTATCAGGAGTTGTTGTAGGGATTTTTCTCCTGTTCTCCAGCTCAGCCTCTTCATGATTTTAAAGTTCACAGGATCCCAGGATCATTTAGGCTGGAAAAGATTTTTGGGATCATTGAGTCCAGCCTGGGAGGGATCCTCACTTTGTCACCAACCCGGAGCTGTGAGTGTTGTTCCTTGGACACTTCCAGGGATGGAGGCTCCAAAACTCTCTGGGCAGCCCATTCTGATGTTTAACAGCTTTTCCATCAGGAAATTCCCTCTGAATTCCAAGCTGAAGCTCCCCTGGCACAGCTTGAGGCCCTTTCCTCCTGTCCTGGCCCTTCACTGGAGCTGTGTTTGCACACCTTGAGGTGCTCTGAGGTCTCTTCCTGAACGCTTCAGCCTCTGCAACTCCACCAAAACCAAACAGATCTTTTAACAAAGGCAAAATTGCAGGAAAAAAAGGAATTTTGGGAACATCTTTTCTGAGTGGGAGGTCTGTCAGAGGAAAGTAGGGGAGGAATCGTCAGAAGAACTTGAAATTTAGGAGCAGATTTGTGAAAACTTGCAGTGGCAGGAGGCAAAACCTTGGGATTAGGGGGGGCACGGAAACAGGAACTCTTTTTCATAAAGTTGTAACTTAACCTTCTCATTTTCAAGGCTTTTTGAAAAGAGGGGAAGTTAAACTCTTACCAGAATCAAAGTGGAGTTCTTGTTTTATTTTCCCTTTCCATCAAGTAAAAGTTTTACCTCCAGCTTTTCCACGCAGGTGTTTTAACTCCCTGGATCAATTTTTCAGATCCATGTGATCAAACATTGGCTTTAACTCTGCTGTAGACAATAAATAATCCCAAATAAATACATAAATAAAAATAAACCTGAAATGCATGTCCAGCCAAACACAAGGAGTTCCTTGAGTAACGTGAGCCTGTAAATGTAAATATTTCCCAACTGCTGCTGCCTTTTTCCTGGATGATAACTCTGGAGTCTCATCCTGCTCTTCCTGCAAGTTATTCCTGAATTTCAGTTTGAGAAATTAAGGGAATTTAATCAATTTGGTAAATAATAAGGATGTTTAAAAAAACCCACATTAATGCCATAGCATGGTTGTGTCTTGTATTCCCAAAATTAAACTTTTGCAGAGGGAAGGAGGCTTCTGGGAAGGATTGGAAGAGTAGAAAGGTGGTAAGAAGTGAAACTTTTCCTTATAATTCCCAGAAATTGACCTACTTTTTCCTGTTAGATCAGTTCTACTCCATAGTTTGGCAAAAGAAAATGCTGAATTGGTTTAAAACACTTCTCAGGAAATTGAGAATGTAATCTTTCTGCAGCTCCTCTTCAGCTGCACTCGTAAGAAGATTTAGGATTTATATGTATTTATATACAGCAGGTTCATTTGTGCTTCAGCTATGGCGCTGCAAATTCCAAGGATTACAATTCCTGCTCCTTAATCCTGCTGGGCTGTGGAGAAAACCCTGCTATCCAAATAATGGACTTTTTCTAAAAAATCTGTGTAGAACAAAGCTGTTGATGAAGCCACTTTTTTCCTTTGAGCTGTGATTTGAAATAGAAATCAGGAGAAGTTTTTCCAGTCTGGGGTTTGTTTCATTCCAGAATTGGAACTCCTAATGTATTCCAGTATTCTCTAATTCCACTCTCATGGGAATATCATTGATCTTACTTTGATATCCAAAGAGATGGTGAAGTTTTGGATGGTGGTGGGTGCCACAGAGATTTGGAATAAAACATTGATTAATTCTGGGAGGGTTTTAAGGACAAACCACAAAACCCAAGAGCAGAATGAACCCACACTGGACAACGACATGGAGTGTCACCGTGCACCAGCTTCTTCTGAGACACAAACCCCTCTCCTCTTTATTTTTCCTTCTTTATCCTTCAGGAATGCTCCAGACCTGCTGTGTTTGCCTAACTCTGACAGATTTTCTCTCAGAGCTTCCAAGGAGTGTCACTCATTGATACCCAGACCTGTTATGAAGCACCACAGGAGCACGAGACACCGGTTATTTATTTCAATATTTTTGTTTTTTCAGCTTTTGATTTCACGGTGCTTTCTGATGCTTAGGCAAGAAATGACATCTTGGCTGTGCCTTCACTGTGATGACAGCCCTGGGAGCTCCGTGGCTCTGTGGGAATTTGATATTTAATAAGTGGGATAATGTATCAGTGATATTTTTGCCTCATGTCCAGGAGAAATGATGAGGAGGACTCCATCTTATCAGAAGGCTAATTAATCACTTTATTATGCTATATTATTCTATGCTATATTACACTGCAGAGCATCTCCTGACTGTCAGTGACAGTCCCAAGTTGGTCAGTGAATAAAACCACACCAGAATCCAGTTATCAATGCCCTTCAGGTGAACAATCTTCCACAGTGCATTCCACTTGTGAACAACACAGCAGCAGTAAATGAGATAAGAAGTGTTTTTTTCTTTCTCTGAGGTTCAGAGAATGTGAATCCCAGAAATTTCTTGGGAAGTTGTGCCTTGCTTTTGTCCGTGAAGAGAAATGTGGTGACAATAATGAGAGACACATCCACCTCCATGAGAGAACTGAAATCCACCCTCGGGGGATTATCCATCTAATTCCCTCTGATTTTAATGCAGATGGAGGACATAAATATCCCTTGGGAATATTTCCCTTGTCCCCATGGTCCCCTGTCTTCCTAAAACCCCCGAGTTCCATCCTGATGATCGTTTCTCCCAACAGCCAGCAGGTCGCGGCTACGGTCGCGATGACGCAAAAGCGAAATATTCCACCCAAGTGCTGCTTGAATTCCCCTCTTTTTTTAAAATTTTTCTTGCCAGCCCTTCCACCCCATGGTGAACCTGGAATGCTCCCGGGATTTCCGGCCCTTCCTGTGCGCCCTGTACGCCCCGGTGTGCATGGAGTACGGGCGGGTGACGCTGCCCTGCCGCCGCCTCTGCCAGCGCGCCCACAGCGAGTGCTCCAAGCTCATGGAGATGTTCGGGGTCTCCTGGCCCGAGGACATGGAGTGCACCAGGTGAGAAAATCCCTTTTTTTTTTTTAAATGTCAGGATAAAATTATTCCCATCCGGGATGTTTTATGGCCCATAAAAAGCAGGTGTTGTAAACGTTTTCCGTCGCCCGCGGACGTGTTTTCCTTCCCATTTGCCAGCAGCATTTCCTGAGGTGGGAAGTGAGTTCCTATTTCTGCCCGTGAGATCAGCTGAAAATTGGCTGGGTTTGATGAGGGGGAAATCTCAAAGCTGTTTGCAGAGCAGGTACCCCTTGCTGAGCTGCAAACAGCTGCGTTCAGCTTTACGTTGCACAAATAAATTTATGGAAAAATGATCCAATGGTGTTCCAAGCTGTTTGAGACAGAACATGCATGAAATTAAAAACAGGATCTTCATGCTTTATTGGTTTTTGTGATTTCAACAGTTAATGAAACTGAGGAGCAGTAACAGGAACAAATAGTTTCCAGATGGGTTGGAGAGAAAAACAATTAAAATTATTTTAGTTTAAGTCAGAGGATATGTTACTGTGATTGCTCCAGTCTCTCCTTCAAAACTCCAGCAGTCCTGGGCCTCCAGTCAGAGCCTTATTTACACAAATATCTCCATCATCATTCCATTTATTAATGCTGGTGTCAGCTACACAAATATCTTCATCATAATTCCATTTGTTAAAACTGGTGGCAGTGCTAGTTGGAATTCTGGTGTCACCACCTCACTGCCCTGTCTGACGGCACCGAGTGCAGTTGCTTAGGAAAAGCTTTAAAATGTTTTTAAAATCCTGCTGCCGTAGGCTTGAATTCACAGATTTCCTGGGATGGATTTTGCATCCTTACTTTCATCCTTAAATCCCAAATGGGCTCCTCACCTGTTTTATTTTTAAACGTATTTTATAGTTTCAGCATTGCACGGCGGGATGAGTTTGTGACTAAATAGTGCAGAATTTTGATGGGTTCCCTATTTTTTGGGTTGTCTGGTTGGCCTGAAGTCACACCTAGAAATGCTGATTCTTGTATCAGGAATGGTGTGGCCAGCAGGAGCAGGGAGATCATCCTTCCCCTGTACTCAGCACTGGTGAGGGCACACGCTCCAGCTCTGGCCCCTCAGTTTGGGAATGATGTTGAGAACCTGGAGTGTGTCCAGAGGAGGCAACGAGGCTGGAGAGGAGCTGGGAACACAAACCCTGTGAGGAACCACAGAGGGAGCTGGGGGTCTCAGCCTGGAGAAAAGGAGACTCGGGGGTGCCCTCATCGCTCTACAACTCCCTGAAATGTGGCTGTAGCCAGCTGGGGTTGGTCTCTTTCTCCAGGCAGCACTGACTGAACCAGAGGACACAGTCTCAGGCTGTGCCAAGGGAAATACAGCTTGGATATTAGGGAAAAGTTTTTCACTGAAAGAGTGATAAATTTCTGGAATGGCCTGCCCAGGGAGGTGGTGGAGTCACCATCCCTGGGTGTGTTTGAATAAAGACTTGATTTGACACTTGATTTTTTAGTTGAGGTGTTAGGGCATGGGTTGGACTCAGTGATCTTGAAGGTCTCTTCCAACTTGTGATTCTGTGAATTCTGTGTGAAATGAGGTTCCCAGTCCTTGTGAGTACATTCCTTGTAAGAGGCGTTTCTCTTTTTAGGTTCCCAGACTGCGACGAGCCCTATCCTCGCCTGGTTGACCTCAACTTGGCCGGCGAGCCCACGGAGGAGGCCCCGATGGCCGTCCAGAGGGATTACGGCTTTTGGTGTCCCCGCGAGCTGAAAATCGACCCGGAGCTGGGCTACTCCTTCCTCAGGGTCCGGGACTGCTCCCCTCCTTGCCCCAACATGTACTTCCGCCGGGAGGAGCTGTCCTTCGCCCGCTACTTCATCGGCGTCATCTCCATCGTCTGCCTCTCGGCCACCCTGTTCACCTTCCTGACCTTCCTCATCGACGTCACGCGCTTCCGCTACCCGGAGAGGCCCATCATCTTCTACGCCGTCTGCTACATGATGGTGTCCCTCATCTTCTTCATCGGCTTCCTGCTGGAGGACCGGGTGGCCTGCAACGCCTCCAGCCCCTCCCAGTACAAAGCGTCCACCGTGACCCAGGGCTCCCACAACAAAGCCTGCACCATGCTCTTCATGGTGCTCTACTTCTTCACCATGGCCGGCAGCGTCTGGTGGGTCATCCTCACCATCACCTGGTTCCTGGCCGCCGTGCCCAAGTGGGGCAGCGAGGCCATCGAGAAGAAGGCCCTGCTGTTCCACGCCAGCGCCTGGGGCATCCCGGGCACCCTCACCATCATCCTCCTGGCCATGAACAAGATCGAGGGCGACAACATCAGCGGCGTGTGCTTCGTCGGCCTCTACGACGTGGACGCGCTGCGCTACTTCGTGCTGGCGCCTCTGTGCCTCTACGTGGTGGTGGGAGTGTCCCTGCTGCTGGCCGGAATCATCTCCCTCAACCGCGTGCGCATCGAGATCCCGCTGGAGAAGGAGAACCAGGACAAGCTGGTGAAGTTCATGATCCGCATCGGCGTCTTCAGCGTGCTCTACCTCGTGCCCCTGCTGGTGGTGATCGGCTGCTACTTCTACGAGCAGGCGTACCGGGGCGTGTGGGAGACCACGTGGATCCAGGAGCGCTGCCGGGAGTACCACATCCCCTGTCCCTTCCAGGTGAGCTGCACCGCCCAGCTCAACGCCCGCCCTTCCCTTCCCTCGTCCTGTTTTGGCTGTGAGACCTGAAATGTGTCCGGGGAATGTAGAAAATTTGGATTTATTTGGGGGGGAAAAGGGATTCTTTGTGCCCTCTGGAAGGGATGAAGGTGGTGGATTTGGAGCAGTGGAATCACTTGGAATGTGAGCCCTGGGCTGACTCCAGAGACCTTTTGGAGCTCTTTGCACTCAAAGGAGATGTTGAGAGTGGAGTTTTCCCTCCTTTGGCTGGGGTTGTGTTGGTCACAGCTACAAGTGCTGGTCATACAAAGGTCTTGTGTCCTTGGGGATGGAGCCCTTCCCTCTGGGAACCTCCCCCTGCCAATCGAAATCTTCATTTAAATATTGAAATAATTGAAATTTAAGCATCTCTAAAATCACGAGGCGAAATTTTGAGCAAAAACTTTGTTTTTAAACCTTGAAACTGAGGGCTGGGATAATGAAAAGAGCTCCTGAAATCCCTGGCAAGCCGTTGCTGGAGTGGCCCAGCGGGAGTCAAAAGAACAATAATGGTTTCATTCACATCAAATTGGGTTGAAGGACCTGCAGACCCCAGGGAGCATTAGAGGGGTTGTTTTTTCTCCTTTTAACCCCTCCATTTATATTTTTTTCCCCTCAAACTAAGCATGCTTCCCATATGAAACAATCCAGATTTATAACTGAACCAGATTCCCAAAGCTGGGGGGGGGGGAAATGATTTTATCCTTAGCTCTTGGTAGTGAAAAATATCCTTAAATCAGGGGGAAATTGTGGGGAATATCCCTCAGTGGTGAAATAAGAGCACATATTTATGAAGCTTTAATGGTCTTTAATTAATTTCTAATGTTTCTGAGAGCAGAGCACCCTAAATGGAAAGTGGAGCTGATCCCACAGTGCATAAAAAGGTTTTGTGGTCTGGGGATTCTTCCCAACACCAGCAAATCCGAGGTTAAAAATCCACTGGGGCGTGACATCATCCGTGCCATGGGAGATGATGGCACAGGAACTCCTTCTGGAAAATTCCCAGCGAGGGGGGTGGGAACTGCAGCTGCTCCTGCGGGCTCAGCCCTGGGGATTGGCCTGGCTGCTCCAGAACCAGCTGGGGCCCAGAGGAAAACCAGAAACTGGAATTGGGAACATTCCCCAAATGAGAAATATTCCCCAGATGAGAAATATTCCCAAGCAGAGAGTTTGGTCAGATAAAAACCAGAAACTGGGATGGTGTGGCTGCCTGGAATTGGGAACATTCCCCAAATGAGAAATATTCCCCAGATGAGAAATATTCCCAAGCAGAGAGTTTGGTCAGATAAAAACCAGAAACTGGGATGGTGTGGCTGCCTGGAATTGGGAACATTCCCCAAATGAGAAATATTCCCCAGATGAGAAATATTCCCAAGCAGAGAGTTTGGTCAGATAAAAACCAGAAACTGGGATGGTGTGGCTGCCTGGAATTGGGAACATTCCCCAAATGAGAAATATTCCCCAGATGAGAAATATTCCCAAGCAGAGAGTTTGGTCAGATAAAAACCAGAAACTGGGATGGTGTGGCTGCCTGGAATTGGGAACATTCCCCAAATGAGAAATATTCCCCAGATGAGAAATATTCCCAAGCAGAGAGTTTGGTCAGATAAAAACCAGAAACTGGGATGGTGTGGCTGCCTGGAATTGGGAACATTCCCCAAATGAGAAATATTCCCCAGATGAGAAATATTCCCAAGCAGAGAGTTTGGTCAGATAAAAACCAGAAACTGGGATGGTGTGGCTGCCTGGAATTGGGAACATTCCCCAAATGAGAAATATTCCCCAGATGAGAAATATTCCCAAGCAGAGAGTTTGGTCAGATAAAAACCAGAAACTGGGATGGTGTGGCTGCCTGGAATTGGGAACATTCCCCAAATGAGAAATATTCCCCAGATGAGAAATATTCCCAAGCAGAGAGTTTGGTCAGATAAAAACCAGAAACTGGGATGGTGTGGCTGCCTGGAATTGGGAACATTCCCCAAATGAGAAATATTCCCCAAATGAGAAATATTCCCCAAATGAGAAATATTCCCCAAATGAGAAATATTCCCCAAATGAGAAATATTCCCAAAATGAGAAATATTCCCATGTAGAGAGTTTGGTCAGATAAAAACCAAAAACTGAGTTTATCTGCTGCCTGGACTCAGAAATATTCCCCAAATTTGAAATAATCCCAAGCAGAAAGTTTGGTCAGATAAAAACCAGAAACTGGTTTTATTTGGCTGCCTGAAATCAGAAATATTCCCAGAATTAGAAATATTCCCAAGCAGAGAGTTTGGTCAGATAAAAACCTGAAACTGCCTGAAATCAGGAATAACAGAAACTGTTTATTTGGCTGCCTGAAATCAGAAATATTCCCCAAATATTAAATAATCCCAAAATGAGAAATATTCCCAAGCAGAGACTTGGGTCAGATAAAAACCAGAAACTGGGTTTATTTGGCTGCCTGGAATCAGAAGTATTCCCAGAATTAGAAATATTCCCAAGCAGAGAGCTTGGTCTGATAAAAACCTGAAACTGGGTTTATTTGGCTGCCTGGAATCAGAAAGATTCCCAGAATTAGAAATATTCCCATGTAGAGAGTTTGGTCAGATAAAAACCAGAAACTGGGTTTATCTGGCTGCCTGGAATCAGAAAGATTCCCAGAATTAGAAATATTCCCATGTAGAGAGTTTGGTCAGATGAAAAGCAGAAACTGGGTTTATCTGGCTGCCTGGAATCAGAAATATTCCCAAAACTAGAAATATTCCCAAGCAGAGAGTTTGGTCAGATAAAAACCTAAAACTGCCTGAAATCAGGAATATTTCTGAAATCAGAAATATTCCCAAGTGGAGAGTTTGGTCAAACTAGAAATATTCCCAAGCAGAGAGCTTGGTCAGATAAAAACCAGAAACTGAGTTTATTTGGCTGCCTGGAATCAGCAATATTCCCAAAATTAGAAATATTCCCAAGCAGAGACTTTGGTCAGATAAAAACCAGAAACTGTATTTATTTGGCTGCCTGGAATCAGCAATATTCCCAAAATTAGAAATATTCCCAAGCAGAGAGCTTGGTCAGATAAAAACCAGAAACTGAGTTTATTTGGCTGCCTGGACTCAGAAATATTCCCCAAATTTGAAATAATCCCAAGCAGAGAGTTTGGTCAGATGAAAACCAGAAACTGGGTTTATTTGGCTGCCTGAACTCAGAAATATTCCCCAAATTAGAAATATTCCCATGTGGAGAAAGCCACAGGGTGCCTCTGTGTGGGGCATCACCCTCTGGGGTTCCTGGATCTTTCCTGCCCTCACCTGGGTCTGGATTCTTTTGGGGTTTTTTTGGCAAATTTGGGAGGCAGCCCTTGCTTTCCTTGGGAAATAAAAACTTCTTTGCCACGAGGGCAGGGAATCCCTGTCCCACTTTTCCCTCTCCTCCTGGGCAGGCACTGAAGGAGTTTGTGGTGCCCTGTTGTGAAAAATGCTCTTCACTTTTCTTCAAATTGTAGAAATTTCACAGTAATGAAAATATTAATAAAAATTAGGACAACAAGAGACAATAAAAAGCAAAGAATTACAGAGTGCCTGGCTAAAATGCTAATAAAGGATTGCTTGAAAAGCAATAATCTAATTTATATTTATATATTTCATACATAATTCAAATATTATTTTCAAACTAGGGGGTTTCTGATTAATTTTAGCTTCCCCCTCCCATCTTGTAAATTAATTTTGGTCATAATTTTTCTCTTGGGATTTCGGTGTTTGTTGCTTGATGGGAGAATTTCTTGATTATTTTTTCTATTCCTTGAGTTAGTTCCAAAAATATCTTACATCATCACATAGTTTCTATTTTAATATTCTGCTGTAAATAATAATATAAAACTATATTTAGTACACTGTTTAAAAGAGATTCATGCAGCATAACTTTCCAACATCACACATATAATATTCATTTTAATATTTGCAAAAGGCCAATATTAAAATATATTAGAATAATATTGTAATATTACCTGTCCTGCCCCAAAATTTGGGGGGAAATAGGAAAGGAAATCTCTGCTCAAGCTGGCCTGAAACTGCCCTGACCCACCCAGCTCTCTTTTTACCCAGGTTGGGATATTTTTATTTTTTTCTGGAGGGGGAAAAACATTGCCTTTAAAATCTATTTCCACCATGGGAATATTCAAACAAGGAGCTGAAGAAATTAAATTTTTTAAATTAATTAAGCAAAAAGGAATGAATCCAAAATCACCTCATGGTTCACAGGGCAGAGCCTCAGGACTGAATTTCATCTTTCTTCATCAATTCTTGGTGTTTGCTTGGGTTGTTAATCCTGCCCCAATTTTTTTCAGCTCTCACAGTTTCTCTTTCCTCTCTAATTTGTGATTTTTT